GGTGTGGGGCGCCAAGGGCAGTCCTGGACGCTCTCAGAGCACCGTGTACTGTGGTCACAGCAGGACGGTGGTGCTGCCAGAGGCTGGTAAGTTTCCTAAGTTGTGCCTTGGACATCAGTGAGAAGCTTTGTCACGATGCTGCCTCAGCGGGGGAGCAGACTAGCTGCTTGTTGCTGCTAACCATGCAGGCGGTGGAAACATCCAGATAGACCCAAAACGCCATGCTGATTGCGCTTTAGTATATTTCTTCAGCTCTAGAGCTACGCTTTCCATCACAGCTTTGTTTTGTGTGAGTAGTGGGTTTTTTTTCCTGTAGAAAAAGATCTCACATTGAAACGTACACATCCGGGGGAGAAAATTCAGGTAAAAACTATGGGTGCCATAGCGTATTTCAAGTCCTAAGAGCTGTCATGACTGTAGATCTCAGTAGAAACCCTAATATTGTAATGAGATGTCCGAGTGGTGTCTACAGTTTGCAACAAGTAGCATATATTACATACTAGGGCTCTGCTAGGCAAAGTAAAAAGCTGACATTTTTACTGTCCTACCACGAAATATAATTGAAAGTGACCCTTTTCAGTTTTTCCTTATTTAAATATCTTTGTCCAAGAGAGATTACTTTTTCCTCGTGAGGAATTATTTATAAAAGAAAGCTACACCTCACAGCTTACATTCCCCCTCAGGAGCTGGTGGTGCTTCTATGGCCGTAGCACAGCCTGGTCCTTCCTCACACTGCATTCTAGCCAGCACTCTGTGTGCGGGCTGTCCTGAAGAGTTTTCTAGAATTGTTGGGTAAGTCTGCCGTGAGCACGGATGACCTTCCCTAGCAAGACGCTTGAACTGGGTACAGTTCCAACTATACTGCCTGGGTTTAAATTGAAACGAAGGAGAAGGGTAGTAGCGGGTGGGTGTGCACGTAGCGCACTTGGCAGAAATAAGCTCTCAGCATGGGGCACAGAGAGGGCTCTGAAGTGGAGACCCAGAGCCCCGCGCTCTGATGCTGCTTGGCGACTAATTAATTGTGTGATAAGCAGGTGCTGTCCCTTCCCAGGTCTGTTCCCTCAACTGCCGGATGACAGGGTTGGATTAGAGGATCTCCAGGCTTCTTTTCAGGTCTAAAGAACTGATTCTAGGCAATATGTCTGAAAGAAGTTGAGAGAATCTATTTCACACACCTAATCTTTTGGTTCACGAGCTTCTGTTGAGGTAGAAATTGGCTTTGAATCGTGTGATTCTTTTTAGTAAACTGCCCTGTTTGGCTGTGGTGGCAGAGCTATTCAGATCATTTTCATAAACCCTCTTAGTACAATGCATATTCCTAATAAGTGTGGCTCCGGTCTCATGGGAAGAGGCTGTCACTGATAAGATAGATAGATAGGGATACACAGATTAGCCTTTGTCAATTCCATGGCTCCGGGTTACTGGACGGATTTGAACTTCTAGAGTTAGTTAGGCAACAACAGTGTGTGTGTGTGTGTGTGTGTGTGTGTGTGTGTGTGTGTGTGTGTATGTGTGTATGGAGAGAGAGAGATTGAAGCAGGAAGTTGGTTTTGTATGATTTCCCCCCAGTGGACTGAACTTTGAGACTTAAAAATCATACGACTGTTGCTAAGAGAGTAGATCTTAAAAGTTCTCATCACAAGAAAAACAAATTTTAGCTATGTGTGGTGATGGATGTTAACTAGACTTATTGTAATCATTTTGCAATATAGACGTTTAGCAAGTCGTTATGGTGTACACCTGAAACTAAATACAATGTTAGATGTCAAGTATGTCTTAATTTAAAAAATCATACAGTCACTCATATATTTATGAGTCCTGAGGTTCAAATGTAAGGCCCTTAGTCTTGAAGAGGGTTCTGGAGTCCACAGAAGTCAGTGCAGAGCCTGGACCAGCCCTTTGGGTCTTTGGACGCTCAGTTTGGTGCATCATCATCATCGTCACCATCTAAATTGCATTCTGAATGGGTACAGAGAATATTTCTAAAATATATGCAAGGTACAAAGGATTACCAACAGTGAGCACCAGCGTACCCATAACCCAGTTAAAACTAAAGGACATGTCATTATACCTGAAGTCCCAGTTGCTCTCATCCCTGCCCCCTCCGTAGTCATGGTAACCATGATCCCCAAATCTTATGCCAATCATTCCTTGCTTTTCTTAATAGTTTGATCACATATATTTGTAATATGTTTGATTGTGCACACCCGTGGAGTTTATGTAGACGATGCATACGTTCTCCCGGGGCTTGCCCCTTTCACTCAATATGTTCCCAAGGTTGCCGAGTGTCACTGTAACGCATTCATTTTGACTTCTGTGTACTTTCCTGACGTACGAATCCACCATGGTTCATTCATCCCTTGTACTGTCGATGGGGACTCGAGCTATTTCCAGTTTTTTGCTATGAAAAGCAGTGCTTCCTGTGTGTGTCTTCTGGGAACACGTGTGATAGTTGCTCCAAGGTGCGTGCTTAGGAATGAAATTTCTAGGCCAAGGAGCATACACGTGTTCAGCTTTATTAGGTCATTTCAAGCCGTTTTCCAGAGAAGCTGAACCACTCTGTGCGCTGACAGCGTGTTCCACTTGCTCCGCTTTCTTGCCAATAGGTTGTCAGCCGCTTACGTTTTTGCTAGTCTGGTGGGTATGAAATGTCTCTTCACATGTTTATTGGCCGTTTGGGCTTTATCTTCGGTGAAGTGCCTGTTCAGGGCTTTCCTCCATTTTCTTTTTGATTTGTAAGAGTGTGTTATCAATTCCATACATGGAGCTTTTTTAGGAGTGCCGCAAATGCCTTTCCCCAGTTTATGGCTTTTGATAAACATAAATTCTTGGTTTCGTGTAATTGAACGTATCATCTCCACTGTAGTTTGCGCTTTTTCTGTGTGTATTTAAAAAGCCTTCCCTGACCTGTGGGCATAAAGATGTCTCCTGTATTTTCTCTAACAGTGAGGCCTATAGTCTACCTGGAATTGATTTTTGTATAGAAAGTGCAGTAGGGGTCCATTTTCTGTTTGTTTTCCTTCCTCTAGGGATATTCAGTTGTCCCAACACCACTTGCTGAGAAGACTGCCCTTTCCCCCTGCTCTGAATGGTCACTGTGGCCACACATCAAGAGTCCGTAAATGTGTGTTTCTGCTCCTCGCCTTTGCTTTTCTGTGTAGCCATTAGAATCAAGTTCCATGAAAACATACAGACAAAAACCTGTTGAGTTTGATTGAAATTACAATAGATCAATATAGGGAGCATTAATATCTCCTTATAATATCGAATCTTCCAGTTCAGTTACATGGTAAGCTTCTTCATTTATTTAGGACTTCTCTACTATATTTTAATGAAGTTTTTTATTTAGAATTCTTGCACTGACATTCACGAACAAGATTTTGCTCATATTTTTCTCTGCGTTTTGATTTGGAGGTTATGCTAGACTCATAAAACAAGTTGGGAGCTGTTCTGCCTTTTTCTGTGCCCCTGGAGTTCTTTCTTCGTTGGATGGCTGGTGCACGTCTTCGGTGAAATCGCTTGAGCTTAGCATTTTCTGTGTGCGAAGATTTGAAAGTACAATTCCCTTTCCGTTTTGAGCTCTTTGGGGACAGCTGAGCTCTTACACGCATTTAACCTCTGAAGAGAGGAGTGTTCTTAGCGTCATGGCATCTTGGACGGTTAAAAATAGTTGGATGCTAATGAAGCTTATCCCGTCATGCTGATGCATTATTTACTTGTTTTAACAGAGAAGTGATTGAAAAGAAGCCAGAAAAGTTTAAAGTGCAGTGTTTGACAGACATCAAGAACCTGTTTTTTCCCAATACGGAACCTTTTTATGCTGCTTTTGGAAACCGACCGGCTGTAAGTAGTAGACCGGGTGTTTGAGAGCTCTGGGAAGTCCTGTCTGTTTGGACAGCAGTCCTCTGAAAGTCTGGCCTGGACTATACGTGCAGCAGCCAGACTCGCATCCTACTAGAAAGAGCTGGTAAAGAGCCATTTGCCTGCATCTAAAGGCAAGGAGATCGTAAATGATTTCACGGCCTCTCACTTTCTTGGAAGGTTGGCTAGTGAGTTTCAGTTTGAAGCATGAAATGTGGGCCTAGAAACATCAAATTCTGAATTACTTGCTGAATAAGATTATACCCTTCCTACCAGAAGGGATGCACAAAGCCAATCCTTAGCGCAGTGGTGAGTTCAGTGTTGCAAGTTTTAAGAGGACAGTTGTACCCCCTTAGCCACAGTTTCGCTTTCTGCGGTTTCAGTTACCTATGGCCTACCACAGTCTGAGAATATTAACTGGAAAATGCCAGAAATAAACAATTCGTACATGTCAACCTGTGCGTGGTTCTGAGTAGTGTGATGAGACCTCACGAGGGCCCACTCTGCCCCACCCAGGACCAACGTACCCACGCTGTAGACACTCCCCGCTTGTTAGCTTAGTCACTCAGTGGCCCTCTCTCTGGGTTATCAGATGACTGTCGAGGTGTCACAGGGCTTACGTTCAAGTCACCTTATTTCACTTAATAACGCCACATTCACGTAGCTTTTATTTCAGTATATTGTTATAATTGTCTTATTTTATTATTGGTTATTGTTATTACTCTCTTACTGTGCCTAATTTATACATTAAACGTTATCATAGGTGTGTACATATAGGAAGAAAAATTGCATGTATAGGGTTTGGTACTATCTGCAATTTCAGGCACCCATGGGGGATCTTGGAACATATCCCCGGCAGATAAGGGGGGACCACTTTATTGTTTCATATGGTAAAAGAAATGCCCGGAGATTTTGTGTGTACAGCCTCAATTTGCTGGAAAGTTCAGTGTGCTGGAGAATAGAGTTGGGTGCTAACTTCCCAGTAAGAAAATTCTCCTAATTCTCCCCAGTAAGAAAACATTAGGACTGCAGAGGGTGTGGTGGGTGGTCCACTCTTTAACTGAGTTCCTGACTAGATAAACAAACTGAGGCCCAGAGGGGAAAACTAATTTAATAGCTTCACATCCAGAGATATTCTTTCTCTACACCCGTTGGTTGATGAAAATCAGTTCTGGTTAGTGAGAATTTTATAATATTGCATCAAACCCAAAATATCATGGATTCATATTTATAACAAACTCTTTTTTTTCCCCCTAACACTTGACCAAACACAGGATGTGTATTCGTACAAGCAAGTAGGAGTGTCTTTGAACAGAATATTCACTGTCAATCCCAAAGGAGAGCTCGTGCAGGAGCACGCAAAGACCAACATCTCCTCGTGAGTATCCCCGCGTGCCCTGTGATCAGTGCGGCGTCACCATCGTGTCACCACCGGCTTAGTCTCGGAATGGTCTTCTACTGTTTACAGTATAACTTTTGGTCCCTTGTTGCCTATATTTTAATCTTCAATGCTTATGAGGGAACTATATTTTAACTCCTCCCACTTTGTCCAAAACTTAATTTTTGGGCAATCTGGATCAAATCAGAATCCCCCCTGGGTCAAAAATTTGAACTAGTGGTTACATTCTGCTACAGAATTGGAATTGAATGAATTTGAAAACTAGTAGTTTCGATTTGCCAAGTTAGGTTTGAAAGCCTAGAATGCGAATTAAAAATGTATCTAAATTGAAATATTATGCGAAGCTGTATTTAAAGATGAGGAACTGTATATCCCTTCACATCCTGGCCTGTAATAACATTTTCACCAAAAGCATTGCTGTGTAATTGGAAGAATTCCTCCCATAGTTTTGGTCGCGGCCTAGTTTCCCGGAGGCAGTGGACTGAAATGGATGTCTGCTTGTAAGGAGGCACCCTGGTTGGCTGTAGAATCTCTTTTGACCTTGACATGTCTCACTTTGGGTTCCTAACTTCTTAGAAGGGAGAGTGTTTCCTCATCCTATGTGTTGGGAGCTTTGCCCACTGGGTGACCTCAGGAAGACAAGTATCACCCTGCCTTGTCTGTTTCAGAGGCTGCCTCTCTTTTGGCCTGATCTGTGCAAACTCGGATAGCACCGTCTGGCCCCAGTGAGCTCCAGTGGGCCTGCTGGAGCCTTCCTCAGGTGGAGGAGTTGGAGTGGGCGAGCCTGGGTCTTCTCCAGGTGCCTTCTGTGGTTTCAGGTAGATGAGAGATCGAGGTTCCTCAGAGCAGACTTGCACTTTTAAGGTGCTCCAGCCTGGGACAAGCTGGCGTCTAACCCAGCTTAAACAGGGCGGCTCCAGGAGAGCGGCGGAGGAGACCGGTCCCTTTCCCAGCCCTTTCCTCGTAGCTTCCTCCGCCCAAGCGCTCAGTGGCCACCCCTGACAGTGTCACAGTTCCCTGTTCCCCCTCAGTCCCCAGCCGAGCACATTCCCACGTGACAGGCTTTCCTCCGTCGGGAGAGAAATTAGTGGGTTTTTATTTAGGGTCCAAAAGAACTCTCAACCACTGAGACAGTGCCCAGAAATGACAAAGGTTTCTGCCAGGCAGCAGCCGAGGGGCAGGTCTTGTCATAGGAGGCCTGGAAAGAGGGACTCCAGCATCTGCGCGGGTTTGCCCAGGAGGCCTCTGAGGCTCTCCAGTTCACTGAGACGCTGCAGTTAAAATGCGGCTGTCTGGGCCTTGGCCCAGGGTGGATCTCGGCATGGGAGGAAACCTTATGTATTGTCTGACGCCTGGACTGGAAGGTGTCGCTTTTCCTGTGAGAGAGTGACTCTCCTTCCCTAGGAAAGCACATGCTTTTGCCTGGCACTGAACCTGGTACAGCCATTTCCAAGGCAAGTGGGTGCCTGCCCCTCGGAACCTGGGACTCCGTCTCTGAGAAGTCATCTGAAATGTCTCAAGAGGGTAGGCGTCCTGGCTGGGAAGTGGGGTGTCCCTGCTTTTCTTCTTTGCATTTGTGCCCCCAAAGGAGCCCTGTGCGAGGAGGGTGGCCCCAAGAGAGGCACACGATGGCGCTCCCAGCGGGACTGGGTCTCGTGCCACCTCACCCTGGTGACGAGTGCTGAACTGCACCCTGTTGGGACAGCCACCTCCCATAGCCACAAAACTCAAACAAGTAGGTGTGAAAGCCAGGAGGTACTTTAAACATTTGGTTTAATCCCCAGGAAAGACATAATTCTTGCTTGTTACGAGAGATTTTTTTTTTCCGTTTTGTGCAAGCATGATGCTTCTCAGGAGCTCTTTTAAAGATTTTTATTGGGGAATTAGGGGATGGGAACAGCGTTGGGGAATTGGGGGAAGGGGAACAGACAAGTTGCTGTCATTTTGTTCTTCAGTCTAGTTGTGGAGGATGTTGCTTCACTGGCCCAAGTTGGCACCATCATTGCGCTCTTCCCGGGCGAGGCAGATCAGTTCCCGGCTTCTGGACGGCCGTTCACTGCAGCTGCTGGCCTCTCACGCTGGCTGCTGGCTACATACGATAGCCCATGGCAACCCACTGCCACAGGGGCTGCAGCCTATGCCGTCACCGGCGACTCAACTGCAGGCCAGCTCCAGGTTGAGCTGTTGTTCAGCATCTTAGCTGTGGAGGGCAGTGTCACTGGCCCTCATATGTGGGATCCGAACCGGGGCCCTCTGGCATCCCAAGCCAGCTCTTAACCAACACGCCACTCGGCCGGCCCTGGAAGTCATTTATTAAATATACACATTCATCCCTATTTACGAGTTATTTTATGCCTCAGAACATCCTAATTCCTGGAGTTTGTGTATGTAGAGAGCCCCTTTTGGTTCTTGGCAAATTAGAATTGGAGAGGGACCCAGTGACTGAGCAGGACTCTGGGGATTATGCGGAGAGGCCTGGGCTTGTCACAGTTCCTGGTGGAGGCACCTACAGGTTTGAAAACGGGTATTCGGTTCAGCAGCTTACTTTTTGTAGAATAGGCCACAGAAGCTAATATGCAACAACTTCTTGGGCACACACAGAAAACAAGAGTGAGCACGTTGCAGGGAGCATTGAGAAACACAAATGTGGTTCAAGTCCACACTCTAGAACAGCGGTTCTCAACCTTCCTAATGCCTCAACCCCTTAATACAGTTCCTCATGTTGTGGTGACCCCAACCATAAAATTATTTTCGTTGCTACTCTATAACTGTAATTTTGCTACTGTTATGAATCGTAATGTAAGTATCTTTTTGTTTTCCGATGGTCTTAGGCGACCCCTGTGAAAGGGTCGTTTGACCCCCAAAGGGGTCGCGACCCACAGGTTGAGAACCGCTGCTCTAGAAAGACGAAGGGCCTGAGGCCCAGAGAGGGCAAGACACTTGCCCCAGGTTCCACAGCACCAAGGGGGGAGTGGATCCCAGGTCTCTTGACCCTCATGCCAATGAGGGCTTCACTTCTTAAGGCTAATAATTAGCCAGAGCTAATTATTTCCTAACGTTGACAATTTACTGTTGAATAAATTTATTGAACGTCCAGTATGCATTATTTCACTGTTGCGTACATTATTCAACTTGACTCTCATAGGTACACTTTGGCACAGTGTTCACTTCCTTCCCTTTACAGTTGAGGACATTGTGGCTTAGACAGATGAAGCCATTTGCTCAAGGTCACATGGTTAGTAAATGGCAGAGCGGAAGGTCACATCCCTGTCTGCTTAACCCCAGGGCCCAGTGCCTTTTCATTGCTCAGCGGAGCAGGCGCAGTCGGATGCCCCACAGATCTGCGATCTTCCCCTGATGCCCATGTGTGAGCTGTGCAGCAGGTGGCTGTCCCTCTGCCATGCTGACTTCTTCCTGTCCTCCTTTGCTTCTGCTCTGCCCTTCTTCTCAGTCTTTCGTGCGGGTGAGGTCCCACCTGCCTCGCCTGTGGAGCCTTCTCTGATTCCCGCTTGGTACGCCCTTTGATTTCCTACTAATTGGTAAGGAATTATTCTCGAACACCCTCTGTTGTGTTAACCCCTGAGGTCCGTTCCTCAGGGTCCTGGATTTCTCCTGACTTCCAGGCACAGCGCAGGGAGCGTGGCACGTGTTCCTCTTGGCTAGGTGTCCGCCGGAGGCAATGACGTTGTCCATTTTCTTCCAGGTACGTGAGACTCTGCGAAGTGGTTGACCACGTTTTCCCCTTGCTGAAAAGAAGCCATTCTTCGGACTTCCCCTGCTCAGACACTTTCAGCAATTTCACCTTTTGGAGAGAGCCACTGCCGCCTTTTGAAAACCAGGACGTTCATTCTGCCTCAGCATGAAGTGTTCCCAGCAACCTCCTGATATCATACGAAGACCGGGCCCCCCCATTAAAGGATAGGTTTCCGGGGGCCGAGGAGCAGAGCTCAGGAGCCTGGTGTGCAGTCATTTGCTTAGGAGCCGCGAGAGCTGAGATGCTTTCTGTGCCTCCCCGCTGCCCCGGGGGCTGACATGTCTGAGTGACATCTGAACGGTGTACTCTACAGGCCAGGAGTCACAGGCGTTAATGGTGTGGGGGGAATTCCTCGGTTGTGGCTCAAAGCCAGTGGCAACGCTGCCTTTTCGGCCTGCTCCAGTGTGTTACCGGCTAATGGGCGCTGTGACCCTGTGGAAGTTGAGCAGAGGTGGCTGCCACGGGTTCCCGCTGATGACAGTATCAACTGAGGAACGCCTGATGTGCATGACTTTCAGTAGAGTAGGGCCACGGTTCCATTATGGTGGTTCGTACCACCAGTTCTGCACACGGCGGGGGGGTGTCCGTGTGGGGTCACATGACCCGAGTCTGAGGACTCGGAAGGGACTCCAAACAGGGCTTTGGCCTTGTGGAGGAGGTTCCCTTGCAGTATTTGCCGACCAATCTAATTCTTTAGGTGATAAGTTTTTCTTTAATTCCTTTGGCTAAACATAACCGATGTGAACAGCATATCCCTCCCCCAACCCCCACCCCCTTTTTCCTTTTTTGTGGCTCAAGGCTGGAGTTTTTATGCCTTAATGCACCTGTGGCAGACATTTTATTTCGAATGTGCTTTGCCTAGCTCTTTGTAACTTTGCAATGCCTTAAGCTCGGACTGTAGGAAATATTACTAAGACAGTGTTTGGGGTCCGTTCAACACTGTGCCAGCAGCCTTTTATCCAGCAAGGTGGTGCTGAAAATGTGAACTTGAACAGAGCTGATGCCAAATGGTAATTGGAGCTCTCAAAAGAAACTGGTTGGTTTTAAGACAATAGTTTTAAGAAGTTAAATTATATTCTCTGTAGATATTATTATTTATTACTTTACTCTGAGTTATTGTTATAAGCGTTTTAGCCATATTCTATTATAACTGTCACTGACACATTAAAAAGATATACGTTAGACTACCCAAAGAGCCTTATTCTATATATCTTACAACACTGACCTTCTTTTGAGATTTATGAGTGGCATGTTTTATTTTCCTTAGCTCTTCCACCCAAGGGCGAGAGCATGTAATAATTTGAATGACGTTCTTTAAGCCGGTAGAAGATGATTCTCTTACTTGTTGATTAAATTGGCTTGTGAAGAGAACAACTCGAAAAGTGAAAGAATTATTTTGGTAAAAAAATTTGCTTTACTTTTTGAAATGTTATTTTTCTAAAGTGCATTTTACTCCACTGATTGAAATGATTTCCTATTTAAATTGCCTTGCTAGAGTCACAGGAGGCAAAAAAAAAAAATGGAACAGTTGAATAAAATTTTACTCTTTCTGTGAAAGAAGACGCAGAGGTGTTGCCTGCGCGCAGTTGGTGGGCTGTTAGCAGTTGGGTGCCTTTTATGAACGGTCCGTGTGCCACACAGAGAAAGGCAAACATACGTGTGCAGTCGATCGCGCATTTGCACAGAAACAGACACGCATGCGCAGATTCCCTTTTTTGCGGCATTACGAATAGTTAAAAATAGCCCTACCTTCACTCCTCTGGGCTTATTCATTAGTAACCCTTAGAGGCTACATGAATTCTTTCTGTCACAGGGTGTTCTGGGGGTGAATTTTAACTGTTGCAAAGTAAGTGTAGGTTTGCGGAGGCTGACGGTGGCTTCTTGCGCTGGGAGGAGTCTGGCTGTGAGTGGGTCGCGTACCCCTCCTGCCATGGCCGTCGCCAGGCCGAGCGGCTGTCGTCCACGCTCCACGCAGGTGTGACAGCAGCCCCCTTACGCTTCACAGCGCCGCACGCTGAACCAGAGCACGCCTGCCTTCCAGAAACGTCAGGCTCAGATCTGTGCCAAGTGCAGAGTGTGACCCCCAGAGAGGCTGTAACATTCACACCTGCCTTGTGGCTTTGGAAAAGGAGATGTGTACGTGGGCAGCACTCACACATATGCGGGTTGGCTTATCGGTGGTGACACAACTATAACCAACAACCCCACCGTCACGTGCTGGAGCGCTGCCCTCGGAACACACATTTCCAGGTTGCCCTACGGCAGCGAGTCACTCCCTAGTGACGACAAGTCCTCAGGTGTTCACCACATGTGATGGGGAAAAACATACATACTTGGCACATTGCAGAAATGATCGCACCTCCAAAGAGAATTCCATTCTCAAGTCTAGGTTTGGCGCACTACTTTAAGTGTATTTTTATTTACAGCACTTGGTCTGTATGTGTATATGCTGGTGCGATGATAAACTCCCTGTAATACTTCATTGTGTTGTGCTGGATGCAAAGCTAGAAAATATTGTAATAAACGAGATCGATGAAAGACTTGTCTGAAAATGAGGCGTGTGAATTTTAAGTGGTTTTTGGTAAGCGATTAAGTTGCTGATTTTCTAGTGTGTGATATCAAGCAGATTATTTTATTCTCCAAAAAAAAGGCTCTGAACTGTTTCGAATATGTGGAATAAAAGTCAGTCTTTTCTGATGCCTTTGGTATAACACCCCCCTGCACGTGCACTTGGGAGGGAAGTAGGGTACAGAGGAAGCGGAGAAGGCGGCACCCCGGGTGCGCCCCTCCTGAGGGGATTGGCTCGGGGGCGGGGTGGTTTCACTTACACGTTGTGCGTGGAGTGCCTCCAGGGCCCGGCCCGAAGTCTGTGTTTCCCATCTGTCTGTTCCGTGTGCTTTTGTGAGATGGTCAGTCAGGTGCGGCCACAGGAGAAGACGCAGGAGGGGCTCAGGCATACCACGTTTATTATACTCACCCGTCCGAGGAACTGGAGGCGCGCCGTGCCACGCCGCGCAGGGCCACGTGGGGAAGCACCAGGGTGGTCAGGAGGCAGAAGACAGGAGCGAGGGGAGCGCCTAGGCTTTATCGGGGTTCGCAGGAAAGGCAGGGCCGGCAGGGCGAACAGCTGGGACTGGCTAGGCTGCCTGACAAGGCCTCTAAGCTATAGGGGCTGGTCTCTGGCAGCCTGGCGCCTGGCCCTGGGACGATTAAGGCAGAGGAATATTGCCTCCTGGGGTGCACGGGCCAGATTGAGGGGGTCTTGCATATCACAGGCATGCTCCTGTTGGGCCCTTTGCTGCCTCTTAAGAAATGGTTAGCTGCTCTCTTATCAGCAAGAAAGCCTTTTTAAAGATGCAAGACACTATAATAATATATAGAAAATAAAAGGACAAACAGTGCAGGTTCCCTTGCCTCAGTTTTTGGACTCTTTCTTCTCTGTGGTATATTGATTCATTTTTTTTCATTTTGAACAAACCCATCAAAGCCCTTGCCTACTTCACCCAGATTGCTTAAAAACTGTCATAATTCCTATTGATTTTGTGCATTATCGACATGCCTGAGACGTCCTATTGATCTACCTGCATCGGCCTAAGTGATTTTGAAATAAATGTAAGAGCATTGGCCCCTCAATGCTTAAAAGATGGCCACAAGGATACCAGGCTGAGCTCCCCAGGAAGCCCAGATCCAAACCATTCACCTCTGGGCCTCTGTCAAATTAATGCTTGTGTATCTTGAAAACACAACAAACCCTCTCATTTGGTTGAACATCACAGATTTATTCCAACTCAATTTCAGATTATAAACTCTTACTTGTAAAACAAAAAGTAGCCTAAGCTGTAGTCTTGGGCCTGGTGATCCCCAAATTCTCCCGCTCCCCCACTTTCTCCGAGGGGTTCCACTAAGCTATGCTGTACTATCCCATTGGGTAGGGCTGGGGGTGGTGGGAGGCCTCCCGTCTCTGCCCTAAATGAAGAGAAGGTGGTTAAAATGCCATTAGGGTCTCCTTCCTGCCTCTGACCCCTTGCCAGCTGCTGCTGCCATCGAAGGTGGTCAAGTGTCACTACTATTGCAAGAAGGCTTGGTGCCTGAAGGAAACTAGAGTAAGACCAGACAGAAGTTCTGAAAGTCAGTGGGCCCCAAATGGCCACCTGGGGGCACAATCCTGTTTGGTTTGGAGGCACAGCCTTTAAAATCATTGTCTGGGCTTGACAAAGGCCCCTCCCCATAGCGCTTACCTTGGAGATCAGCCAGGTGTGTTGCGGGCTTGTGGGGAGGGGGAGGAGTTCCTTAAGGGATTGTCTGGGCACCAAAGTGCCTCCAACGGGCACAGCTCAAGGTCAAACTGACTGGCTTGGAGGAGAAGCAGTTTGTGGCTGCTGTTCAGGTCTAAGAACCATTTAGGTTTGTGGTCTTCAGAGTGTAGTCTCGGGGCCGGCAGCTCCAGCACGCGGTAGCTTGTTAGAAATGCACGTTCTTGGGCCCCACCCTCGACCTTCTGACTCAAACTGGATGTGCGGCCCCACCTGTGTTACTAAATCCTCCCCAGATTCCAGTGCACACTCAAGTGGTACACCTGAGGTCCAGATCCTGGTCCCAAGGAGCTGCCTCTGTGTTGCGGCAGCTGACATCTAACTTGAATCTTGCCTGGCCAGAGCCACAGAAAGTTTCTGCTGAAGGAGGGAGGCGCCTGGAAACCCAATTCAGGGGCTTGATTGAGTCACCAGGTGTCCTGAGCCTTTGGTGCACAGCTGCGGGCTCTAGCCACCTTCCTGGGCACCTCAGTGTGAGCTGGTCCGGCTGGGAGGGCAGTCTGCTTGCAGCTCAGTGCATGTGGACCAGCGGGCCTCGGCTGTGCCCGGATTTCTGAGGACTCCCTTTCTCCCCCAAATTGTCAGAGCCTGGAGGTGCTGTCCTGATGCCAGGGATCTTTTCACTGGTGCAGGAAGTCCATTCAGCCCTGCATTGCTTTTAATGAGTTTTGCAAGCAAGTGGCCTCTTCCGGTGACTCATTCTGCCTTTTGTGCACCGGAGATTGTGGTTTTAAGTTTCACTTTGGAAAGTAACCACTACTTCTGCTGCTTTCTCCACTGCTGGAATCCAAACAAGTTACATTCATTTTGCAACAAAGAAATGTAAATGCAGGCAGCCAGTCATATTTCTGTTCTGATTGTAAAAACATCCTTTTCCGAGATGGATGACAGAGCCAAGCGAAAGAAGAAATGGTTTCTATTTTCAAGCAGCACGTTTATTTGGGAACTCCATATTTTTCCTTCCAGAGTGGCTGGATAGTTTTGCTTTTGTTCTTTGTCTTTTGGATTCATATTTCAGGGCTATCCTAAAAATAAGTAGCACTTTCTAGTTGAGTGAGGCAGTTCACCTCTGATGTATTAAGACTTGGATCTGGACAAAAGTTTGTGTACTTCCGTGCAGCACACAAAAGATATGTATATACAGTAAAATAGTTTTCATCTGGACTTTCCACAGAAATCAGGGTGTGGTACCTGAAAGGTGAATTTCTCAGGATGAGACAGCCTGTGTTAAGTGGACAAACTGCAGCCTTTTTTCTCCAATTCGAGTGATATAGTCATCTTCAAAATGTTAGTGTTGAACTCAACTATTCTTCTATAATTTTACTTAAATATGTACAGACATAAAACAATAGCCCTTATACATGAAATAAAACCAAGTGCATTTAAAAGTCAGTGCAGATAAAACGAGAGCGCGGATAAAATGCAAAGTAACATGAATGTTACATGGTGGAAAATGTTGGTGTGTTGAAGCTAGTGAAATGCTGTGGGGTTTGGGTTTATAATAGAGGTACTCATGTTTTGTAATATGATTCATTGGTTAACTCCATTCTTCAGATTTTTCAGCACGATGGACCACCATTTCCATCATCTACAAAACACGTGATGAAATTGTCCTCATTACACGCTTCCATCTACCCTGTGTGCTAATGAACTATTGCAGATTCTGACAATAGGATGGGGTCCCTTCAATAAATTGTCTGCTGGTTGCACATGGTTGTCACAAAGCAAACAATGGCATGAAGGAATGGGTGCGCTGCCTGTGCTTTGGAAACAGTGAGATATGGCACAGTCCTGAGTTTTATAGTCACTGCTGTTTCAGATCACCGTTTAGGGTCATCCACTCTGTCTCATTGAGGAGAAAATTGATGCTGAGAGAGATTGTGATTTGATGAAGGTCCCCTGGCAAGTAAAAGGCAGAGCTGAACTCAGGTCTCCAAATTCATTCTACTTTCAAGTCTTCAGCCTCTGTCCCACTGAACCCACCCAGAGTGGCAGCGTATGGGTGGCTCCTGGGACAACATAGGGGAAGTGGGCAAGGAGCAGTGCAGTTGCCACACTGTGTGCGCACTGCATGAGCCAGCCTCCAGAACTCTGCATATCAGACAGCTGATGGTGATGAGGGGACACAGAGCAGGGAACAGGCCCTGAGAAAGACAAAACAGCTTCCACGTCTTCGTCTTCTCCAGGACCAAATCGTGCTGTGTGCCACAGTGCCTTTGCTGTTTTCAAAAGCTAAGTCATTTTGAAAAATGGGATATGCACTTCCTGCTTTGACCAGGAACCAATGCCAACAGGACCAGGTTGGTTCCTCTGCCCAGGCAGAGCTTGACCTTTCAATTCAGAAATATCTGCACAGACCCAGTTGTGCTCGGGAGGGGGAATGGAGCATGTGCAACTGCAGCTGCTGTCAAATCCAGCCTCTCCCGGCTGTACTGAAAGATTCACCAAAGTGCTGTGGGGCCCCCGTCTCCCTCCCCCGCCCCCAACTGGACACAGCAAAGTATGAGCCAATGAAGCAGCACATGGGGCACAGGATTAAGTGAATGGCTTCCCTCTCCTGCCTCCTGTTCTTTGCTTTCCATGTTTTTCCTGCACTATCACAAGAGCATAACAATACAATGGAGGCACTCACGTCCAGGCACTAAACTCCTGATGGAGAATATCCTGGTGGAAATGTGAATAGGTTTGGGGCTTCCTGTGAAGATAGGGCAGGGACAGGGAGTCTGGGGACCCTGAGCCTGAGCACATGTGGCTCAGGTGGCTAGCTATCCTGTAAAGAGTCCTGCTTTCCTATTACAGCTGAAGCTGACGCTGGGAGAGGAGCAGGGAACCTTCTAGGTCTCACGAACGGGGATTCTCAACCTTGGTCGTGTGTTAGAATTAATGGAGGGGATTTTATTATTTATTTATTTATTTATTTACTTACTTGTTTATTAATATTTTCCCTATGCTTCATTTCTTTCTCTTTTTTTAAAATTAGTTTCAGGTGTACAAAACAATGCACTAGTTATCCTTTTCACCCCTCACCAAGTGACAACCCCCCCCCCTCCCAAGCCACTGCACCCTCACCCAGTGGAGGAGATTTAAAAAATCACTGATGTCTAAGTCCCACTCCAGCAGGCTCAGCGTGACTCGGAAGTGCTTGCATCATAGACTCTGATTGTAGTAGGACTGAGATGCCCACACTGTGGGTTCAACCACAGCAGAAAGATGGTGGCTTTTATCAATAAAAAGATAAA